GTGTTTAATTATTTGAATATTTAAAAAGTAATTAAATATCTACATATTTCTTGAATATTCAAATTTAATACGCATCATATTCGAAGGATATAAAAGGTGAAGAAAAGACTCAGTTAATCAGTTTGCGACTATACTTTTGACTATCGCAATGCGAGGTAACGATTGCGATTCGTTACTGGGGAAATGAATGGGATTGTGGTTGTTTGGGGCACACTTAGGAAGTAATAGCCAGAAGTTATGGATAGTTCAAGGCTCGGTAGCATTAAGGGAGATGACCACCTCGAGGCTTGGCTGGACTAAGCTCTATTTTGTTACTTCGGGACCTATTGGATTGAAGTACCGGTTTGGTGATTTGGTTGGATTGTCATTCAAATAAATTTGAACTCTAATATAATATTCTTTAATATTTCTAGCTGTTACAAACTTGCTGCTCCTCAACATATTATGAAATTAGAACTAAATTCGAAGTAAGATCATATTTAATAAGTAATTTCGAAAATTTTCATTTTTTACCGATAAAAATTGCTCCCAAAAAAAGTTATCAGTTCTCCAAAATTTGAGTAAATAATAATTTCCGGTTAAGTAATGATCGGAAAATGAGGATGAATTTCTCAGGTTGTCTTCACCGATGTATCAGAAGAGAAGAAGCAGAAGGAAATGGAAAAGAAATTGCGAATTTCGAAGGGAAGGATGGAACAAATGAATTAATTCTTGGAGCAATCTTACCAATGTGAACTGGATGGCGGGGAGCTACTAATTGAAGCAAATCAAATGAAATTATTTTGTGATGTAATAAAATATGATACTGTGGATGTGTTGCACAAAATGGTAAATTAAATCTCTTGCGGAAATGATGAAAATAATTTTTATTAATTTTAGAAAATTGTTGCTTTGTCGTTAATAAAAAAACCAAGCTTTTGAAGTCAAACATTCTGAGATTTCATACAATTTTTATAAATGATAAGTACCTTATCTAAAAGTAAAAGAATCTTTTTCTCTTTCTATTCGGAAAAATTTTAATTGAATTTAAAGATCTCAACTAAGCTTTTAAGATTTTTAAGATGAAATAAAGGGGAGAAAATTCATAATTTTCTCAAGTTTATTTACTTCTCATGTCTTATGTGATGATTGCAAATGGATTTGCGAAAGGATTTCGTCAAGGCGGAAAGCTAGAAGATTCTGTACGATATTAGGAAAATGCATTAGCGGATTTTAGTTGATATTCAGCTGGAACAAATAAATTTACCTCGTATTCGAAAATTGAAAAATAAAAACACTCGATAATTGCTATTTTTTTAATGAATTTGGAATTATTTAATTTTTGTTGGAAGTATTTAGCAATGAAGAAGTGTATTTAAGATATTTCTATTATTATTTAATATTTGGAATAAGTTATGCAGAACTGTTAACATTTCATCTTAAATTATAATGATTTTTCGAGGTAAAGCAGAAAAAATTATCACCGAACAAAGATGACGGAATGTAATATCGATTAATTATATGCAACGGTCACTTTTGATAAGTTAATTAATAAACAAAAATGATCCAAACGTATTCAGCTGGTCATTTTGAGAAAAATCAATGAATGAAATTATTTATTATACAGCAAATATTGCTAATAATGAATAGACTGGAAGATTTTGGCTATCATGAGCGTATAGGAAATGCGTTTTTTGACGCTCTCCGAATGGATAATTGTTGGAATAATTGACTTCAATTGAGAATTCATGAAAGAACAATCGAGATCAGTATCAATTTTTATTTACATCATCTGTTGTTGCTTTGTATTTAATAGAATGAAATTTCATCTCATCGTTTATGCTTTATTTGTTTGTTGAATTTTATACAAAAAAATTTTTCGACCAAAGAGATTTTCTAACTTTCCGTTAATCATTAAAAATTGCATGGCGCACTGAATGATTTATTATTGTTATTATTATTAATGATTTAAATAAAATATTCACGTTTTAAAGCATACAAAGAAATTTTATAACAAATATAAGAGAAATGGGAGGATTTTTATCAAGTTGGTTTTTAACAATATCGTGGTTTTGAATGAAATTTTTTTGAGTTAGCTGTGGGAATGTAGGAGATATTTTTTTGTTACATATTTTTGCCACATGCATAAAAGCGTTCTCTGATTTAAATTTTTCATTCAATCGGCAGTTTAGTAAATGAAAAAGTATAGGTAATAATTAGCATGGTACAACTTTTGCAAGTCCCATTGTTTTCAATAATTCTTAAAATTTTACAAATTTATCGTGTTGCAAGTTGCGAAAAGTTGCAAAAAGAAAGATATTGGAAGATTTGTTATTATAATCTCCGACACTGATTTGAAAGGAATGACAACTTATCAAAAATAATATCAGTTATTCAAAATTATAAAACATAAACTATACATCAGTGATAGTAAGATTCCGTGACAGTACTAATGGTCCACCTTCCCTCAATTCTTCCTCCGAATAGTTTAACGTTGAAGAAACTAGCGATGTATCATCGATTTTACGAACGGATAGCTTTGATGGCAGCGGCAGTAATTTAGGATTGAACTGTGTGTTCACTGGAAAGTATAGAATTAGCATAACAAAGTGAAGAGCGATTTTTTTCATTAGTAAAAGATATATTGAGTACTAAACTTTTTAAACCTGAAAAGTGAACCCGATGATAATATTCATTAGTGTAAGTTAGATTCTTGGCTACGATTACTGAAATCAGTGCAGGAGGCCTACTTGAGAGAGATCTGACAGTTTGAGGTACTGCAGTGGTGTAAGTTTGCGATGATTCGGAATCGATCTGAGTAGTTTTTAATTCTCGAGATGTTGAACGTGATAATGAAACAAATGGATGTCGTTGACCTGAAGTTTGTTCTTCGATCACAGATAATCTGATAGTGTCAAACGGTTCTGTTGTCCGATTGTCGAATTCCATTGGTATGTCTTCTATAGAATCAGGATGAATGAAATATATAGATAAACAAAGTAATAAAAAACGACTTCTAATTATATTCTGTATTGAAAAAAAACTATAAAAAATTCCTGAATAGTGTTTAAAAATCACAAAAGATTATCTTTAATTTATCATTGTTGTGAAGAGTTATTGTCATTTAGTTTACAATGACAGATGTTAGATCAACATACCGGAAAACGTAGTTGGTAATTGTGAGCTAATGATGATGGATGAAACGGATGGTGTACTTACTGATACACTTTCCATTAGCACCGCTTTGCATTGACATTTCGGACAATTTGGATTCAGGCATTCCGCTAAATATATTTGTAAACATCTGAAACCAGATTCTTTAGAATCAATAATTTATGTACCGAACGTTTACAAGGCATTCATGAATTTCAGGATATCAAAGGTCAATTTTCGATTTATTTTACATATTTAATTGTTAGCAAAATTACAAAGCTTCGTTGAGAGGATCGTTCAAAATTTCCAATTATAACCCTTTTGTTTTTGATTTCAAATTTGTTTAAAGATGAAAATATTAGAAACATATTAGACAGATTTAACCTTTCATGAAAAATATGTGAGCATCGAAGTGCCTGCAATGAATCATCACGTAATCCATAGCGTTGTCCACAAAAATTACAAAATAGCTCCATTTCTTGTGTTAACGATGTTACCGCCCTTCTGGCTAACTCTTCACTGTCTTCATCATTTAGCTGATTGTAAAGATCTTGCAATCTTAGATGACATTTCATCATTGCATGCTAAAAAAAAATGCAATTATTTCAACTGAAAAAAATTAACGATTATTTAAAATGAAAAAAAAAAAAATTAATCATCATCGATTGTTTTTTTAGATAGTCTTTTTTCGAATCAAATTTAGATGATCTTTTCAAATTTTATCTAAACTAATTATTTGTCAAAAATATTGAATGAAAGTTTTTGGAAAGAAAAATACTCACTTTACATCCAATCGCTTTAGCTACTTCTAAGCATTTTTTATTGAGTTGAATGGCCTGTAAAATATAAATTTATACAATCATTATATAATATATAATATCAAAAATAATGGACTAACTGGTATTGACTTTAGATTTAAAAAAATTTTGGGGAGAAGAAAAACTACACATCTGTTATAATTGCATGAAAATTTATCTTTTCATTTTTTTTTTTTGGTTTTTAAAAGTATCGAAAACTTCCATTTAAGATTTAAACGACAAAAGGACAATAATTTCACATAATATACATCAAATTTGTAAAATTTTTGCTTTTAAAACAAGATAATCTATCATTTTTATTATTACTAAGTGATCAGAGAAAGTAAATTACCTGACATTCACATTTACCGGTATAAAAAGTACGACATTCTGCAGCTGACTTAGCCATACTACCGAGAACTAATACTTCACCCATACGGTCATTTGTTTGACGCATTATTCGATATGCTTCTTCGTAACGTGACCAACTTTTCTAAAATATCATGAAGAATTTTTAGTTTAATAATTTTCACAGTTTTTTTTTCCTTCTTTTAATTTTAAAAGAAATACTAATTTAAAGTTGAATGTGATTTTTCAAACAAATGCCAATTAATGCCCCATAAATCAATGGTATTTATAAATTTAATTACTTTCTTACTGCTTATGACTTAATTATCTTTCAAAATATATTTATGCTTCACCATACATACACACATCGTTATTGCATTATGTTAATTACAATCTTAAATTTTTTATAAATAGACATTATGCTTGACTGAAAGCTTACAGTGAGAGTTTCCTTGGCTTTAGATTCACCCAAATCTCGGCATATATTGGCTATAGAGCATAAACAACGAGCATACACGGATCGATTGTCAGTTTCTTGGGCCAATTTCAATGCTTCCTGTAGAAATATTGGTGAACACACGATCGATGATGCTTCGAATTTGCTTGCTCATTGCTGTGTAAAGAGTTGTAGTAACTCAAGTGAGTCCTTCAAATAGAACATGCAAAAAATGACTGATGTCAAAATGAAATGAAATTTTAGGTATTTTTGATTTTTTTCATAGTTGGAAAAAGTTGTATGTATTGGAATTTATAACTTCAATTATTATATTTCAGATTTGAGATTTGAAAATAGATGGGAATAAAAGCATACATCACATACTGCTCTAGCATTTATCAATGAACCACTTCTTCTTAAGACAACTGATAAATGATAAAGTACAACGCTACGATATTTCGCATGCACATCATTGATCGTTACACCTTCCAATATTGCTAATGCATTTTGCAAGAATAAAATCGCTTTTGACAAATCCCTAATATTTACAATTTAACAGTTAAAATTGGTAAATATTGCTTTTTAAGTGAAATTATTTGTTAAATTTATTTTAAAACATTTTGAAATAAGCATTGAAATAAATTATCCTTTAAATTAATTATCGGACAGCAACAAAAAGTACATAAATTAAGTCAGCATTTCGACTTTTTCCTATATATATATATATCGCATTTGCACTCCCAGTAAAAAAAATATTTACATCAATAAAAGATACCTTATCAATTTCTATTGATCTAAAACAAAGGTGATTTGTAAAACTTTTAAGCATAAACAATCAAAATTATAATAAAATAGAAAACCTGAGCAAAGTGAAGAGTACTCCAAGTCCAACAGATACTTGCAATTCCAATAATTTATCGGAATACTGATTCGCCACACGCATTGCTTTCTCAAATGCTTCCAGGCTTGCTTGAAATTGACTGAATCCAAGCCGGGACAAAGCCACAACTATAATGAATAAAGTAAAATGCGAATAAACTATTATTTATTTAATTTAAATTCCGGATCTTCGTTTTTTCCTCAAAACTACCGTGCTTTTATTTTGCTGATTGCCGACAAAATAGTTTCTTTTTGACCTTTAATCTATCTGGGATTATTCATTACCTCTAATTAGTCAATGTGTAAAATTTTTCGGGATATTTTTTCTAATAAATTTAATCATATTATTTCAGTAACCAACTGATTTTTTTTTACATATTTTTTATCATATTTAAAATTTAGGGATTTTGCATATTGGATAGGATAATGTGTAGTCAAACGAACAAATAATTTTATAAAATATAGAATTCATTTCATGCATTGCAAATTTTTTTGTCCAATATTTTTTTTTTTTTTATAGATTTCTTTTAATCAAAAGTTATCGGATAAAGAAAAAATGAATGAGACCAAGGTGTGCATGACCAGGAGTTCCCGGATCCATGCTTGGATGTTGCAGGCTAGCACGACCATAGCCAATTGCTTTGCCAAAGTCGGCCAATCGTTCATATGCTTTAGCCAAGTTCAGAAATGCTTCACTTTTCATGAACTCATCGTGCTGCGCATTTGCCAGTTCGGTTTGTTGCAAAGTGTATTGTAACATTTCCTTGTAATCGCCTGCATCGCAGTACGCTTGCGCCATATATCCAAGCGTTATAAAACGATCTTCTGCATTTCTGCAAATCGAAATTATAAATTTCGAGAAATGAATTTAATAGATTTGCCCAACTATGAAATGAAAGAAAATAAAAGTTTTGATTAATAATAATGAAGAAATCAATCAGCGAACATTTCTGAAATTTTCTAAACATTATTTATACAATCAGTGAATATTTATGAATTCTGAATCATTTATTAATCAATAATTCTGAACCATTTATTGATAAAAGTTCTTTGAATTTTTCCAAAAATATTCTTCTTTAATATTCATCATTTTTAGAATTATCACTATTCTTTTAAAGCATTTTTAACATCAAATTAAAGTTAATTTTTAAAAAATACTATTGAAAATATGACTTACGTAAGTCGTCGAAGAGCAGCTCGCCAGCGAGCAATAGCTTGTTGATGACGTCGTTGGTAATAGAGTTTAACGCCGGATTGCATGTGATGCTTGGCAATACGTTGACCCATCGATATTGAATTTTTCTCGATTCCAATACCCATTAGAAATGTTCACGTAACCTCTAAAGTAACGAGTAATTTTTCATTCCTTTTGTCTGAAAAAAGAAAAAAAAGCATTGCTTAGAAATAAATTTCCCACTTCGTTTTATCTAATTAATAACAAACAATTATTTCAAAAGTTTCAATTTATTTCATACTTGATTAAATTGAAATTCGCCTTAAATGCTCCTATTTTTTTGAGTTTTCTGGAAGAAATTTAAAAGCCACTTCTTTTGCATTATTGCTAATTTCCACTTATTTGATTTCCACGAACATCTATGATCTTTTATTTCAACTTTAAAGTCAGAGTTTAATGTGGATTCGTTATCCGATTTACTTTTAGATTGTCTAACAGATGATGTTTTTACTTGTGCAAATAAGTATCGTACTGTTATAACAAAAATACTGTTATTTTTGCTTTTAATACGTGCAGAATACAGCAACATAATCATTCAATTTAAATTAGTTGAATGATTAATTAAATCAACGAAGTAATCTTTTATATCTGAATGATAGGGATGAAATGTGTTCTAGTGGTTTATTACAACATGAGAACAGCTGCTTCTTGTTCATAAAGAACATGATTGGTAGAATGGTTATAACGAAGGGAAACAATGTGAAAAACTATGAGGGCGGAAAAGAGATACCTGAATTGTCCGGAAGAAGAATTCTGGCGATAAAATAACTGAGAAAATGAAATATTTAATGTTTTGAATTTATGAATGCATGTTAAATTGTTCATAGCTAGTGAAATCATTCATTTATACAAAGCAGTAAACGGAAAGCAATTATGAAAAATTCGAAAATTAATTCCGACTGATAGATTATCTGAATATCTTGAAGAAGATTATTGAATATCCTGAAAGAATTATGCTTTCTTAAATGTGAGGAATTCTCGCAATACACCTTTTGTGAATAAAATTATTCAACATTTCAATTACTTCAATATATTGCAAGATTAGTAAATATATTTAAGTGTTCGGTGCTGTTCAATTGTAATTTATCTGTTTAGCTTTTTTTTATCGGCATTTTTCAAGAAAGGATATTTGAGAAGAATTTACAATGAATAATACCAACAAAGTATAGAGAAGGAAGTGGAAAAAATGTAAAAGGTCAGATGATGAAGTCAAAACTTACAATTTATATCTTTTTATTTTGCCAAGGTTATTGAAGTTTTTTATTAATATCACAGCTGAGTAATTAGTATAGTATGAATTAGATGCCTAGAAATGGTTCATGCAGTTATTTTCATTTCAATTTAGCTCATTTTGAAAAATTCGGGTTCTGCAAAATCTTTTTTTCTCATCCCGACAATTTTAGAATTTTAAAAGTGATAAATATATGTTATATTTAGCTTTAAGGAAATATTTAAATAAATTTTCAATTCCAGTTATTGTTGTTTTGTTCCCTCTTATAAGGAAGAAATCATTTCTACATTGATTAACAAAAAATAAATGAGCATTACAATAATTTATATTATTTATTTTGAAATTAAAGTGTATCAAAAGAGCATTATTATTACCACCATTAATTGATAATTTCGCTAATTTTGACAAACAACTAATTTTTACAATAATAAAATGAACATTGAAATACAATGCATTCTAGTTGGAAACCAAAATTCAAAATTGGTATTTAGTAAAAAAATGAAAGCTTGCTTATTTTTTTATAATGACAAGTCAGAATTCTCAAAATATCTAACTAAGCATTTAGAGCTTCTAAAATTCATTCATGTAGATTAGCTGAAGCAAGAATAAAAGCTATTTATTAGTGAAAAAAAAGTGAAAAAAATGAAGAATTTTTCTCTAAAAAACGAAGGAAAAGCGAAGCTCTTAATTTCACATCAATAATGACTGATTTTTAAACTTAAATCCTGAGATGTCTATTTGCAGTAAACTTTTATGCATCAATATGAGATGGAATAGAAATAAAAAAAAAGAAAGAAAAATTTGGATATTTATTTCATGTTTGATTTGAAATCGAGATAAATAAAGTTAAATGAAAATTATTAAAATGAATTTGCTAAAAAAGATTAAATATTTTGGTGAAATTTTGAAAAATAGCGTTATATTTGCTATTAATGTGAAATAATATATTATCAAAAAAACTTAAATGGATTAAATAAAGTAAAGTGTTGCATTATATTTGCCTCAAAAGAAGAATGGTCAATAAAAAGTTACATAGTATTTTCTCTCAAATATTGGTCTAACTATTTTTACATTAGCCTATAAATTATTAAGCAATTAAATTTGAAAAAATTTATGCAAAAGTAAAATAGGCGAAGTATGTAAATATTAGAAAAAATACTGTTACAATAAATCATACTCAATCAAATCATCTGAATCAAGTAATATTTATTGCTAATTGAATTTCTAGGAAATTTTAATTTCTTCTTAATTTTCTCAAGATTAAATCAAAAACCGAATACATTATTCAAAAGACTGATTGCAAACTTTTCCAATGATTTTGTAACAAACTGTAAACTGTTCAAATCAGCTCAAATTATATTACAAATATATATATGAACATTTTTTTCTTGAAAAAATATTTTAAAAATATTGAGATTAAACCAACACGCAGTATAATACAAACATGATTTGGAAACAATCTGAAATTGCATTTTGCAAGCAAAAATATTCCATAATGATTTGTTTATTTTTACCGCTAAAATTATTCGCAAAAATTTCAATCATACTTTTGCGTTTGGCTAAGTAAATGTAATTTTTATCAGTTATAGTTATCAGATGAATCTTTTAGCTTAAAAAAATAAAACGAAATAAATAGCAAAAGTGATAAATGCTAAATGTCGAAAAGTAAAGAAATATTTTGGAAAGAACGAAAAGTATTTAAAAATTTGGCATTAAACACAGTAATTTAAAGCATTTGCGAAATGGAAACTTCAAAAAAAGTGATATATATCTAAAGTTAAAATTTTTCAACGACATTATCACACTTTCGCACTCCCATCAGTTATTTTCTAGCAAATGATCTACAATACTTTTCCATTGCTCTCAGTAAATAAGTAACGATATACAGGAATGATAGTACCAAGTAAAAAAATTTCTTCATGCTATCTAAAAATTAAAAACAGATAATATTAAAAAAGTATGAGGTCTTAATTAATTAAAAGGTTTAAAAAAATTTTTGACCAATTATTTATTCAATATTTGTTATGAAACGAAGAAGGAAAAATTCTCAATCTCTGAAAAATAAATTCTGCTTATTTTTTACTAAAAAACTTTTAATTGCACTTTATTGTTCCAGAATTTGTAAAATTCTCTCTTCTAATCATTTTGTTATTTCTGTTATTGAACTTTGGAGGTGAACTGAATGGCTCGCCTGGTGATTACTTGTTTTTTCCAGTTGAAATGGATTATTTGAGTAAAAATTCAAAAAAAGGAATGATTATTCATGAATATTTAATATTCAGCTAAATTATTCGTTGAGCAGAAAAATCATTCATGCTGATAAAATTTGTAATTTGTTAGAACATCAAAAAAAGGCTTTTCTGTAAAAAAAAAATTATTTTGAAAATGGATGATAATGAGATTTGCTTAAATATTTGTAGGCATAAATTGAAATTTATTCACATGAGAATTAGTTTAATTCGGGCAAAAATGTGGGAGGCTTCCATTTAGACTCCAATCTTAGATTTAATTTCAAAAATTGGATTTTTGTTTTTCTCAATCAACTGCTTATTAGCTTCAGAATTGAGAAATAAAGTGAGATAATTTTAGGACTAAATTCCAGTATTTAACTAACATTATAGCCAATAACTCCAAATGTAGGAATGATGAGAGTTCTCAGCACTACTGTAAATACAAATTGATCAGTCTTTTGATATTTAACTGTTCAAATTATCGTTAAATAATAGCAATTTCTAGGAAGAAAAAAATTTCTAATTTAAGAATAGATTTATTTTAATCCAAATGAAAATTTGATTGATTGAAATAGTATAAGTTAGCCAACTAATGAAATAACAAAGGATTTCATTCGTTGGCCAACGTATAGTATTTTTGATAAAACGATGAAAATTATCATTAGAATGTCACGTGATATATTGAATAAAATATTCAAAGTGATCATTTAAATCACTCATTTTGGGTTCATTCTTTTTTCTAAGAAAGGAATTATTGCGCTAAGCAATTCATCACTATCAAATGCTAACTTTGGGTATCACACATTAGACAGCTATACTTTTGCGCTCTTTCTTTTTAAAAATTTTCCTAATTCGTTTAATCCTGGCTAATGGATTTATTTTTTTCCTTAGAAAAAAGTGGAAATGAAAAAGCAACCAGGGATTGCGATTTGAAGAGCGCTTTGCAAGCTGCAAAATCAATCTGCTCGAGCGGAAGAATATTTTTCTCTAATTCTTGTAATTATTTTTGAGAAAAAAAACTTTAAGTAGACATATAAAATTTCAATCTTTTTAGTAAAAAATAGGTCCTACAAACTTAAATAACATTTCAATGCATTTTTACATGAGCATAATTAAATGAGCAAAAAATAAAAACATTTGAAAGGATAACATGGAGAAAATTTTGTTTGCACAAAAAATTTAATACTGAACATTTCTCAATAACAACCTTTCGGTACAAAAAAATATCGCGTAACATTTCAAAAAAGTTTGCTTTTAATTTTTGTTAAAAATTCTAACACTCACAAAAATTTAAGTCAAAAATTGAAATATATTTCTAACAAATTAAAAATCAAATATAAAAAAAATCATTGAAAGTTTAAAAATTATTTTTGAATTTCAAAAAAGAAACAATCGTTAATGGGTGCCTGAAAATGATACATACGTACACGTGAATGCTTCATTCAGAAAGGATAAGCATTATACCAAAGGAAAAACTTTGCCTGTAAATACGACGATAATTAGCTCATTAATTAAAAGCTATCATTTTATAATTAACTTGTGATAATAATAGATTTTAAATTATTAGGAAAAAATTTATTAAGCAACTTTGCATTACATATAACACTGTTCTTTCTTTCTTTCA